TGAGTGTTATGCCCAGGCCAAAAAGCAATCTGAACTGAGAAAAGACATGTCTAAAAAAAAGTAATAACTTCATCATCTTAATTTTGTACATCTCCAGGCAACACTGCTCACTCGCATTACTGTCAGGGCAGTACCTGGCCTGGGAAGGAAGGCGGCAGCATTGCTGGATGCTGACTCAAAAACAAAATGACCTATAAAGACTGAGCCAAATTGCTACAATGCAAACTACTAATGTCCAACTTGGACTTAGTACAGTATTTTTCTATCGACATTCCCATTCCAATTATTTTGTAATGAATCATATTTGTTGCAAGAGCCTAGAAACAAGCCAAAGATGCCCGGCTGGTGTGGCTCAGTGGTTGAGTGTCCACCTATAAACCAGGAGGTCAGGGTTCGATTCCTGGTCAAGGGCACAGGCCCGTCTCCCTTCCTCTCTGTAAAAAATCAATAAAATATATTTAAAAAAAAAATAAAATAAAATAAAATAAATAAATAAATAAAGTAGCCAAAGATGCATTTTATACTTAGCATTCTAGATATACATTATTTCCTGTATATACCTGAAAATGAACAAAACTTCCTCTTGAAAAATCAGGGCACTCAGAAAGCATGTTTTTTCAAAAATGACTTCTATGTGCTATCATCATTGGAGTATTTTAGTTTGCACAATTATTTTGAATTTACTTTTAAACAGAAAATATTTTTGAGACTGATTTAACTCATTGAAAAAATGCTCCTGCTCTGGCCAGTGTGGCTCAGTTGGTTGAGCATCATTCCCTGCACCAAAGGGTTGCTTACTCAATTCCCAATCAGGGCACATGCCCAGGTTGCGGGCTCAATCCCTGGTTGCATGTGGGAGGTAGCCAATCGCCATTTCTCTGTCACATTGATGTCTCTCTCTCTCTCTCTCTCTCTCTCTCTCTCCCCTCTTCCTCTCTCTTTACAATCATATATATTTTTTAAAAAGCTAAATAATACTCCCAACCAAAGTATATATTGTAGTAAAAGAATAAAAATAACAGGTCTCACTATCAAATGATCAAGTATAATTATTTTATTACCCTAATATATATTTTTTAATATATTTGTATTGATTTCAGAGGGGAAGGGAGAAGGAGAGAGATAGAAACATCCATGTTGAGAGAGAATCACTTATCGGCTGCCTCCTGCACACCCACTACTGGGGATCAAGCCCACGACCCCGGCATGTGCCCTGACTGGGAACTGAACAGTGACCTCCTGGCTCATTTGTCAACACTCAACCACTGGGCCACACTGGCTGGGCTACCCTAAAATATATATATTTTATATAGTTGTATAAGCCAGTCATTAGGAACCTAAAATTGAATTACATTTATGCTAAACGCAACTCAAAACACATATGTAAACAGTATCATTTGGTAAAAATCCTCCTGATAAATTCTATTACCCTCCTGTTATAAAGAACAAAACATGCCTCAAATTTCTTACATAAAAAAAATAATTGGTGTTTGCATTATTCTCTGTTAAGAAACCAGTGTTATACTATTCTTACAAGACACTGTTTTGTCATTTTCCCCACTATTGCTGAAGAAAGCAATACATATAGTTTCTTAACACTAGTCCCTTTCCATACCTCCTCATTTTCTTGGTCTTTCTCTGACACTAATCAATATTGACTAGTAAATGCTTGATAAAGATATCTTCTTCCAGCCGAAACCGGTTTGGCTCAGTGGATAGAGCGTCGGCCTGTGGACAAGGGTCCCGGGTTCGATTCTGGTCAGGGGCATGTGCCTGGGTTGTGGGCGCATCCCCAGTGGGAGATGTGCAGGAGGCGGCTGATCGATGTTTCTCTCTCATCGATGTTTCTGGCTCTCTATTTCTCTCCCTTCCTCTCTGTAAAAAATCAATAAAATATATTTTTAAAAAAAGATATCTTCTTCCAGTATACATTTATTCTTTCTTAAAATTCCTATTGCACACTCACTATGAGAGGCTTTGTGTTAAAGACTTTGGAGGCAAAGTAAATTAAGTCAGATTCCTTGCCTAAGAGCTCATGGTCTAGTAAAGGCAAAAAACAATTGCATTAAGGTTTACTCTACATGGTCAGTACAATGACACAGAAAAAAAACACACAAAGAAACCCTGGAAGGGTTATTTAAATCGAGCAGGAAGGTCAGGTAACTGTTCTACTCCATTTCACTAAAATAAGTCTTCCTCCTTTATCAAGGACGCGATGGCCTAACACTGCCTGGTTTGCACTTCCTTGTCTTGGCAAAGCCATGATGATAGATGTAGACAACATCAAAATATCTCTGAGAATTACAATCATCATCCTGTTTCCTGACTTCACAAGGTTTAGTCTGACTGGGTTTAAACACATCAGCCCAAGACCCAATCTAAACTGGAAAATACCAGTAAGTCCAGCTGTTTTTAGAACAGACATGTACATGGTCAGAGAAACATGAACAAGAAATTTACAGCCTGGTACACAAAAATCTGATTTCCAGGTAGAATTTTTACCATATATTAATTTGGGGGACATTTAGGCATCAGAATAAAAATAAGAGGTACCTGAAAGTATAAATGCTTACCTTATTATGTACTCAAATAGAAGGCAAGTTGATTAGTTATGCCATAAATGTTTTAAACTGTAACAACACAAAATAAGATGCCCCTGCCCCCCCAAAAAAAAACCTGTGTGTTGTAAGAAACGCATTTTTTTATATTATATACAAAATCAGAATTAACATTTCAAACGCCAATGTCCACCTAAAAATAAAGACTTGCCAAGCATTGTGTACATTTAAATGTATGTACCAGCTACTTGCTACCCATAGTGTCTCAGAAATGCGAAGAAACAGGCTGAGTTCCTTCAATTCTATGTATATTCCTACGAGTGTTGTTGATAGGAAATCAAAGCATATGTATTCTTCTCTTCCAATCCATTAGCCAGTCTCTAAAAGAAGCCAAATTCCAAAAGACCAAAGAGGACAAGTGTCCATTTGTGACAGTCTCGCGTTATAAATAGTCATTTCAAACACAAGAGCCTCCTGTGAAGCGCAGGTCTACCCACATATCTGATCTATACCATTCTTCAGACCATTGGTGCGGGAGTGAAACCGTCCCTGGTCAGGGTGACCTCGTAAGACCTGTGCATGGCCGAGCCGGCCTCACTCAGGGGAAAGCAGGGCAGTGGGACCATCCAGCAGAGTTGTTTTTCTCCCTCAGCCAGATGACAGGAATAAGTCAAGCCCAGGAGAAGGAAGACTGTCACATGGGATTGGCAGGGACTTCTCCTAACAGTTCCCTCTCTCATCAAGAAGTGGTTACCTTCGGCAGAAGGCGGAAGTACCCTAGATTCTACCTCCTGAAACTGTGGGTCCTGAACACAAACCCTACTCATCGCCTTTGTGGATTATGGGATGGTCGCTGAAACCTGGGTTTGCAGTCGCAGCAGTTTTGTGAAGTTGGGTGTATACGTTCCGACCCAGTGGAATGTCGCCTCAGAGTGCTGCGACTCCGAGGCTCAAGAATCTCCCACCCCCACAGCCACTACCTCCCGAATTCCAGCTTATGCATTCATTTCCTGGGCAATTTTTCTCTTGTGAGGAAAACAATGGACCCTTTCAATTTCTCTTATCAACAAAGGGCTCTAAGATGAAGAAACAATCCTTTCAATAGCATCCTTTCCGACTTCGTGATAAATGAGTGGGGATGAGGTTGGGGA